TTGTCTGTATAAAATCACACCTGCAAGGGTTCCCAGTGGCTCCCAGGTGCTGTCTAAGGAGTGGTGTGCCCTGGCTGCCTGCACCTCATGAATGTTTTGTCCAAAGTTCTGCTGCTGAGGAGGTGGAGGTTGTACTTACTGCTGCCAAGCAGTGTACCTTTGGAGGTAGAAGTCCCAGAGTTCACTCGTCTGTGGGTGGGGCAGCAGGATTTGGCTGGAGTGGCTGATGGGTCGCAGGGCAGTTCTAAGGCCTATCAGGTTGGTGGTGTTGATGAGTTCCTAAAAAAGGCTATTCTCCCCTTCAAGATAACTTGGGCTCCGTGCTGGCGTCCCGCATTCTGGGGGGTGCCCGCAGTGGTGGTAGTCTCTCCTTGTCCAAGAGGGCCTGTCTTACAACCCCTGCTGTTCCTGCGAGATTTACTGTCCCTTACTCACCTCATACACACACATACCACACACATACACACACTTTCCTTTCATATCCTCACTCGCTCACTTTCTCTCCCTCACTTCCCTCCTACCAGCCACCATCTTTTGCAGTGGGTTGATTCTTGTATATGCCCTAACTGGGGATTGAACCCACCTTGGTGTATCAGGATGATGCTCTAAACAACTGAGTTACCCAGCTAGGGCCCAAAGGTATTTTTTTAAAAAAGTGAGCTTTAACTTTTAGGTGCTTCAGACTATTTATAAGAGAATCTGTTTTTAAAATCTCCCTAGTATATAGAAGAAAACACAAAATATTTAGAAAAAGTTAACAAAAGCTTTATAAGACCTTTGCACAAAAAAAAAAAATTATGAGAGAAATTAAGAAAGACTTAAATGGGGACATAAAGCATAAGTAGAGAAATATAATGGGTTGTTGTAAGATTCATTATTATTAAGATATCAGTTATGTCTAATCAGGATCCCAGCAGCCTTTTTTAAAAAGTAGAGAATAAGACTATTTAAAAATTTATATGGAAATATAAAGGATTGAGAAAAGCTAAAACAACTCAAAAGAAAACAAAGTTGGAGTATTTATACTATGTGATTTTAAGATCCACTATAAAACTACAATAATTAAGACAATATGGTATTAGTATAAGGATCTGTAAATAGATCTATAGAACAGAATAGAGAGCCCAGAAATTTATCCATATATATTATTAATTGATTTTTGACAAAAGTACCAAGGTAATTCAATGGAGGAAATGAAAGGTGTTCAACAAGTAGTTTTAGAACAATTTGAAAAACTGTTAATGAGTACTGGTCCTCATTTCACATCACATCACACACACACACACACACACACACACACACACACACACACAATTTGAGATAGATTTATGTGAAAACTAAATTTATGAAACTTCTAGAAGAAAACATATGATGATATCTTCATAATTTTGAAGTAGGCAGAAAGTTTTCAGCAAGCATGAATCATAAAATGAAAAGATGATAAATTCTACTATATCAAAATTAAAAACTTTTATTCATCAGATATCATTAATAAAATAAAAAACTGAGCCACAGATTTGGTAAAAAAGTTAGCAGGACATATATATGATGAATTTGTATCATGAACATATAAAAATGTTCAATAAACAAATGGTTCAAAGATGTACAATCCAATACTTCAAGTTTTTAAAAAGTGTCCATTTACACTTCAGAAAATAAGATATACAAATGGCCAATAACACATGAAAAAGCATTCAAGGAAGGCTGCGCCATCTTACCAGGAAAGGGAGATCTTCTCTGAGGCCTGGAAAACCCACAGCAGAGGAGTCCATCGAGCAGCTGTGACGCCCCAATTGGCGCAAACACGTGGATTCAAGGGAGTTCTTCAACCACCCACGGAAAGGAGAAGGAACACCACATAACCAGGCATTCTGAAAAGAGAGACCATGGGGAAGCAGAGAAATAGCCTGCACATGAAAGAGAAGCAGGCATCACCAGAAAAGGAAGTAAAGGAGTTAGAGGCAAGCAACCTACCAAGAGCAAGAATTAAGAGTAATGATCATAGGATGGCTAAAAAGAATGGAAGAGAAATTTGATGATATGAATAAGAAACAAGAGGAAATGAAGAAGAACCAAGAGGAATTGAAGAAGAACCAAGAGGAAATGAAGATGAACCAAGAAGAAATGAAAAATGACATTGCTACTATGAAGAACTCAATAGAAAGCATCAAGAGTAGACTAGAAGAAGCAGAGGATGGCATCAGTGAGCTACCATTCCTCCTTCCCTTCAACTCTCTCTTAAAAAATCAGTGGAAAAATATCCTCGTGTGAAGATTAACAAAAAAACAATAGTTGTCATTTCTTTTTCTTTTTCCCCCTCCAGTGGAGGATTTATTGGCATAGATATAACCATATAAAAAAAGTTAAAAAACACAGTCATGATGTGCCCTTCCCCCAACTTCCTACCCTGGACCCAAGTCCCTAAAACCCCCTTTAGAGGTGGGGCAAGGAAGGGGAGACCTGAAGCCACCCAAGAATGCTGCAGCATCTGGGCCTGTGCAGGGCTGGCCCTGCTGAGGTGGAAGAAAGAGGGTATTGTCTTAGCACATTCTGTAGTCATTGGAGCAGGACAGTTCCACACATCTGGCTCTTAAAGTCTGGGTCAATGGTGAAGTTCAGGTAGCGATTATCTTGACATTGGGCCGCATGCTAGTGGTGCCAAAGATCTCCTCTCCTGTCTTCACCATTAGGTAGTCTTCCATGTAGAACACTGTTTGCTTCCAGTGCATGTATGATGTCTCAGGGCTGGGGGAGAAGCCAGTCCTCTTGTGGCAGGGGGTGAACTCGATGTTGATGTAGGCCACCAGGGCATGTATATAGTTGTGCTGCTTCACTTGTAGGCACCAGGGAGGAGTGAGGGTGAAGTCTTCCACCTTTGCAGTGTAGATGTCCATCTCCTTTATGAGGTGTTGATGACTCGCTGCTTGGGGTTCACTACATCCACCAAGGGCTCTTTGAAGGCCAGGTATTTCATGCAAGATATATCAAAGTCATACACATTCTCCCATCAGTGGATCTTGTAGTCTTTATATTACCAGACCTTCAGGGCTGTCATGTTCAGCGTGGCTGGGCCTGAGAAGATAAGGCCATCGGGTGCCACCATATCTTGAGCATAGAGCACAGTGTTGCACATTGACTGATAGAAGAGACAGTAGCCCATCCACTCATTGGTTATGTCAATCTTCTCCACTGGAAGTGTCATCTTTTCTACCTTTCCTTTGACGATGGTCACCACACAATCTAACCTGTTGGCTTTGATGATCTTCACTGCATAGTCAGAGATACATACTGGAATTATCAATTTTCATGATCTTGCGGGCCTAACCTTGGCAGAAAACATATAGAGAATCCCACGCCTGAGCCCCGTGCAGCACCATCTTGGTCTTGAAGAGGAGCTGGTTGTGAAACATGGAGGTGCACATTTCCTCTTTTAGCATCTCCTCATGGATGCCAAAGTGAGTGCAGGAGTCAGAATGGTAATCTTTGGAGGTCATGTCTAGAACATTGGGCTTCTCACTGTTTTCTGCTTGGCCATAGGGAACTCCAGCTACCTTGGCTGTTGCCATCTTCCAGAGGTGTCATTTCAAACCCACTAGAATAATTAAAAGTCAAAAACACTGATGACACCAAATTTTGGCGAGTATGTGAAGCAACCAGAGCACTTGTACATTGTTAGTGGAAGTGTAAAATCATAAAACCACTGTGGAGAACTGTTAGACAGTTTCTTTTAATGTTAAATTTATACTTACTCTATTATCCAACAATTCCACTCCAGGTATTTGACCAAAAGCAATGAAAATATGTATCCAGAAAAAGATATTTTACAATGTTCATAGCAGCTTTATTGGCAATGTCATCTAACCTGAAGCAACCCAAATGTCCATGTAGTTGAATAGATAAATCATAGTGCATCTATCCATAGAATGGCATACTACTCAGCAATAAAAATAAAATGAATGCCATAATAAGACATGCAACAAGGTAAATGAATCTTAAAATAATAAATTGAGCAAAATAACCTGGGCACACAAATGAGAACCTATATGATTCATTTGATTGGGAAAGTTTAGCTATGAAGATAGAAATCAGAATAGTGGTTACCTATTGGGGGTTGGGATAGATTTGGAAAGAAGCTTAAAGAAACTTTGGGGTAATGGGATTATTCTACCTCTTGATTGGAATACTGGTTACATAGATGTGTATATTTGTTAAAGTCATTGAGTCTTACATGTAAGATCTGTGTGACTTACTGGATGTAAACTTTACCTCAGTTAAGATAATTATTAGAAAGCAATATTTTAATAGATGTTCAAAAGATGTCTGAGACCAGTACTAGACTTAGATTGTATTTTTAAAAATATATTTTATTGTTTTTTTACAGAGAGGAAGGGAGAGGGATAGAGAACTAGAAACATTGATGAGAGAGAAACATCGACCAGCTGCCTCCTGCACACCCTCTACTTGGGATGTGCCCAAAACCAATGTACATGCCCTTGATCAGAATCGAACCTGAGACCCTTCAGTCTTGGCCGACGTTCCATCCACTGAGCCAAACCAGCTTCGGCTAAATTGTATTTTTAACTCTCCTTGGAACTGTCCCTAAGTATAATTTCTTAAATTTTATTTTTTCACTATATACTGCATTTATATGGTTTAAAAAACAAAAACATTCATACAAATCCTGGGGGTGGAGGGAGAAATAGTAAAAATTCTTATTTCTGTCCTTGTTTCTAATCCTCCCAGTTTCCTCCCCAGAGGCAACTACTATTCTCAGTTTCTTATGAATTCTTCCTCAGACTCTTTATGCAAAAACAAATGCCTTAAGTTTGATAAGTCCAAGGAAATATGGTGCTTAACATGAAATATCTTATTGACAGATATATAGCATTGGAACTGTGATTAGAAATTACAGCATTATAATTGTTGTTAGAAATTTTAACATTAGAACTGGAGGTCTTATCTGACCAATTCTTCACCCAAACAAGGGTTAGCATGACTTTTCAAAGTGCAGTTTCCAGAGGATTTTCACATGCTGTCATTTCTTCTTGGGTAGTCAAGTTAGAAATGTTCTTTTTGGCTAAGACTTTTGCTATTTCTAACTGCTGAAGCCATCGTTTCTCTTTAAAAGCACTGAAAGAAAACAAGATTGATTTATTTATTTCAGTGATGAAGTTCAAGCTTTTATTTAATTTTTATTGAATTTATTGGGGTGATATTGGTTAATAAAATTATATAGGTTTCAGGTATACAATTCTATAATACATCATCTGTACATTGTATTATGTGTTCACCACCCCAGGTCAAGTCTCCTTCCATCACCACCTATCTCCCCTCCACTTACCCTCTTTTACCTCCCCGACCCCTTTTTCCCTCTGGTAATCACCATACCATTAGACATCTGTGTCTGTGAGTTTATTTGTTTTTCCTTTGCTTAATCTCTTCACCTTTTTCACCCAGCCTGGCTTGGGGTCGAAATCACATGCTTATCAGGGGAATCTGAAATTTCAGCCACCTCTCCTGTCTTCACCATGGGAACAGGGCCATCCCTTTTCATTCCCTGCCCTCCTGCCAGTCTTGATGTGGCTTCTTCTGTAATTCTTTGGTTATAACACTTTTCTTCAGCTAGTCTTCAGTTGGTTTTTCAGGTTGATTCCTCCTCATTTTAGTTGCAATTCCAGTTTGGTTTCATGGGAGGTTAGTGTAATATCCACCCACTCCAGCACCATCTTGGATCTCCAAGATATAATTTATAAGGAGGTCCAATATTGTCTCATTTATAGCAGAAATGATGGAAATCTTTAGGTTGATTTTTGTAGCTGTGGCTAGTTTATCTTATCACATGAGTTAAGATATAAAACAGGAAAGAGTAATCTTTCTAAAACCAGTTCATTCTGAAGCCATGGGAATGGTATTTCTCAAGGCAATATGTATCATAAACTTAGAACCCACAACTAGGAACAGAAAGCTACTCAATGTCATATAGAAAGCCACTCAAAAAGTTGAAACTTTTTCTATCTTTTCTCTAGGTATCCCTATACATAACATATTCCCTAACCTATTCTCCCTTCTGCTTCTTCTCACCAAGACAAGCACATAGTTTGCACTGGTAAGGAAGTAAATATTCTGATAAACTTTAACTGAAATGCAATGAAAGTTAATATTTTATGATAGCTATGAGGATACCAGTTACTGTGTAATCTTTTCTTGTAAATTTGAAAGTAATTGCTCCTAGTTTGTAGGATGCAAATAAGATTTACTACAGAAGGGTTTTATATTCCCTTGAACATTGGGGCCCTCCAAGATTCTATCTTTTGTCTTCCTTTCTTTCTTTCTGCACCTTCAACATAGGAGGCCTCATTTATCAATTGCCCACACCCATGACTTCTAAATCCTGGGATTTCTTAAAAGTACATATCTCCAATTAGTAAAAACCTAGAGGCCCAGTGTACAAAATTCATGCATGGGGGAAGGGGTTTCCCCTCAGTCCAACCTGCACCCTCTCCAATCCAGGACCCCTTGGGGGATGTCCGACTGCCGGTTCAGTTGGACATTCCTCTCCCAATCTGAGACTGCTGGCTCCTAACTGCTCACCTGCCTAGCTGCCTGATCTCCCCTAAATGCCCTCCCATGCCAGCCTAATCACCCCTAACTGCCTCTACCTGCTGACTTGGTCATCCCCAATTGCCCCCTCACTGGCCTGTTCACCCCAACTGCTCCCCACTGGCTTGGTAGTCCTTTACTGTCTCCCCTGCCAGCCTGGTAGCCCCCAACTACGTCCCTCTGGCCCCCCTGATGACTTGGTCACCTCCAACTGCCCCCCCACTGGCCTGGTCACCACAACTGACCCATCCACTGGCCTGGTTGTCCTTTACTGTCTCCCCTGCCAGCCTGGTTGCTCCTAATTGCCCCCCTTCCAGCCTGGTCAACCCCAACTTTCCCCTCCCTGCCTGGTCACCCCACACAACCTTCTATTCAGTCATTTGGTTGTCTCTTACTAACCCCCCTGCTGGCCTGATCGCCCCATGCAGCCTGCTGTTCAATTGTTTGGTTGTCCCTCATTAACCCCTCTGCTGGCCTTGTCACCCCACATAGCCTGCTATTCAGTTGTTATTGTTACTGTGACAGCATCCTAGATAATTTGCCTATCCCTTTATTATTAGTATACATAGCATTTGGTAATTGGACACCCACAAATGCTTCCAACTTATATATCTTATATCTTCTTCCTAAATCTTGACTGATGTCTCCCCTCATGTGAGATATGCTAGCTCTAATCTTCAGGCCCTTGAAAGCTTTATTCCACTGACTCCTGGTGGCTCTGCTGTACTGAAATCTTGTCAGAATCTAGGACAGACTGGGTTATGTGGCTCTAGGGTAAGGGCCATTTTTCCCTCACATGCCTATGTGGTGCAGAGTCCTTCCTTCACAGGGCCAAATCTTGATCTGTTTGGGCCTAATAAACTCTGCTGGTCTCATACTGATGACTCCTTGAGATCCTTGCCCACCATACAAGTGTACAAGCACCAAGTGGATAGCAGTTAGTTACCCTGGGACATTTGCAAAGTGGCCTCAGAGCTAGTACTGGCACATATTGAACCTGTATCAATCTGCTAAACATTACTCGCCCCTACCTGGTGACTCACTAAGAACCTACCTCATGCAACTTGTTCAGTGAATGAGCCTAACAGGCAACCACCAGGCAGAGGCAGGCAAGGTGTATCTCAGAGTGCCTTGGACTTTTGCTGATCTTCCCTAAGGCCCAGTACTGGTAAAAGCCAGCCTTGGTGTGTAGCTTAGTCCTTCCCATGCACACACAGGCTCAATAGAGACAACCACAAACTATATCTATCTAGCTTTGTAGAACCAAAAAGGTAGCCCAGGGCCAGTCAAAGACTGTCTGACATTAGCCAGCACCAGAGTCTTCCCCAAGAAGCCCTAGACACAACACACATAATGGCCAGATCCAGATAATATCAGAGTAGAATCCAATTACTTTTACTAGTGGCATATTCAAAGGGATACAGGAAATAGACAATACTAAGGTGAATTCTGCTTCATGTGGTCAACATCTGTACAACAGCTCATGCACTATGATTGGAGTTAATTCTCCCAGTCAGTCAGCTTGAAGGTGAACCTCATCCATGAATGAGCCAATAGCAATCCAAATTCAAGTACAACTGGAGGGTTCACATAACCCACAGAAGGGACATTCTGGAGCATTTAGTTAAGGTGATCAAGAAGATTGCACCACTGGTTCCTATAGGCTACTACATAAGGCCACCCTACCATGTAGATCTACATGGTAGATCTACCTAATACATGGAAACAAACAAAAAGAGGCAGCCAAAATAGGGAGGACAAAGAAATATGTTCCAAATGAAAGAACAGAAGAAATATTTTTTTTTAAAGTAAAAAGCTAAATGAAATGGAGACAAGCAATTTATCAGATATAGAGTAAAAAATAATGATTATAAGGATACCAAAAAAACTTAGTGAGGTCTGGCCAGTGTGGCTCAATGGTTGACTCAATGGTCAACCTATGAAGCAGGAGGTTATGATTCAATTTCTGGTTGGGGAACATGCCTGGGTTGTGGGCTCAATCCCTGGTGCAGGAGGCAGCTGATCAGTGATTTTCATCATCAATATTTCTATTTCATCATCTCCTTCCCTCTCTGAAATCAATAAAAATATATATTTAAAAAAACCTTAGTGAGAATTATAACAGCATGAAAAAGAACTCAGAAACCATAAAAAAGAATCAGTCAAATATGGATAATACAATATCTGAAGTGAAGGATAAACTAGAAGGAATAAACAGTATGTTGGATGAGCAGAAGATTAAATAAGCAATTTGGATGACAAGGTAGCAAGAAATATTCAATAAGAGCAGCAAAAGAAATCCTTATTATGAGAATAGCTTAAGAGACATTTGGGAAAACATGAAGCATCTACCTTATAGGGGTACCAGCATCTACCTTATAGGGGTACCAGAAGGAAAAGAGAGACAGAAAAAGATCAAGAACCTATTTTTAGGGAAAGGAGGAAGATGGCAGTGTAGGTAAATACAGTTCTCACCTCTGCTCACAACCATATCAAAATTACAAAATGTTGGTTCTACAAAGCTATCTACAATATGTGGCTGCCTCTACTGGACCAGGATGTGCATGGGAAGGACCAAGCTACACAACAAACTAAGGGACAATCATCACTCAGAAAAGCCAGAATGGAAGTCCTACAACTAGAGAATTAAAGAAGAAATTATATTGAGATTGGTAGGAGGGGTAGAGGCACATAATGGGCTGGTCCAACACCCATAAGTGGCATTTTATTAATCCAGAGCGATATCTTGGCTGTGAGGCCTACGTTAGGAGCAAGGGGTCTAAGCCTCACACCAGACCTGTCAGCCAGGGTTCCAGTGCCATAAAGAGAAGTCCCCATAACTTCTAGCTATAAAAACCAGTGGGGATGGTGTCTGAATGAGTGGCACAGAGGCTGCTGGAGTACTCTTAAAGGGCCATTGCATAGACTTACTCAGACTCTTGCTCTCTAAACCTCAGCACTAAGGCAGTAGCTTGAAAAGATCCAGGGAAGTATGGGAAGAGCTAAATTGTCAGGCATCAGAGTAAGAACTGGCAGGCAGCTTTTTTCCCAGATAAAAGTGCTGACAGAGGTCCTTGTTCCTATGTTGAGACTTCCCCTGCCAAAGAATATTCAGGCAGGTGCCATATATGAATTTCCATCAACCTGGATCATACTGTTCAACCTGCCCTGGTGATTTCCTGAGATGCCACCCAATTTTCAGCCCCACCCAAGCTGTTTGAGGTGGTCATTCCATATAAACAGCTTGTCCTGGCTCAGGTTTCAGACTTTTCTAAAATCCCTCAAACAAGCAACAGCTGCCTCAGCATTCTAGTCAGAGACAACTTACAAATTACAAGGATTGAAGATATTAAGCAGTTTCTTTTTTTACTGTACTATCAACTTCATTGTTCTGAGTTGTGCCTGTGTTATAATCCAGATCACTCTCACCACTAGGTGGCAATAACCTCATTAAATAAAATAGAGCTGAAATAAAAAACAATACAGAAGGGCAACTAAAACAATTTAGCCTTGTTTTTTTCTTTCCTTCTCATAAATTCAGTAAGGAAAAAAAAAACAGTCACAAATCTGTATTTCTGCTATAGTACTGGTACTCAATAACATCTCATCTAGCTATCATCTATCTATCTATTTATCTATCTATCTATCTATCACCCTAATATGCAAATAAACCAAACTGCAGAACATCCGAACAACCGGTAACTATGGTGTGTGCTCACCACCAGGGGGCTTGCATGGAACATGGCGAGTGTCAGTAGCAGGCGGCAGAGTGTGGAACATGGCAGCATTGGCTGTGGTGGGATGGTGGAGCAGGTGAGCAGGGGCTCACCAGACCAAGGCGGAGCACTGGTTGCTGCAATCCTCTGATGGTTACTGAAAATTCTTTGCTCCCATGTGCCGCAGTCCCACACAGCACTCACGCCTGCTGCTGTTGCTGAAGCCCTATGGCCAGTGTCCAGTGCCAGCCCTGATCACTCGATGCCATCAGCAGGTGCCAGCTGAGGCTGTCAGCACTGATCGCCCCTGGGGGCTTCTCCACCTCCCTCTGCTCCTGAGGGGCAATTGGGACAGCGGCCACAGCTTGCACCCGCTGCTAACACTGGTCCCAAATCACTCCGCGCCATCAGCAGGTGCGAGGGCCGGTGCCGTCAGTGCATGGGAGCAGCTGGCATTGGGACTGCTGTCAGACAGGGGACTGGGAGCTATGGCAGGAGAGGCCAAGACCCACCCCTGTGCCCACCACAGCTTCAAGCCCCACTGTTCCTTGCTCTGAGCCTTTAGTCACTAATAAATGGGACTTGAGACTTGGTCAGAGTTGTGTTTTCTGTGAAATCTGATAACATTATATAAAAATTTTATCTTATGAAATGAATGTGCCTGAAAAATCCATTCAGCTCCACTTAGTTATGTCTTTAAATATGACAATGCATAACTTTTAAAAACTTACCTTAAACATTAATGCTAATTCTATCACCCTTTCCAATATAGATATCCCTCCACCTTCAGTTGCCCAGTAAGTCAACTGAAGTCTTTGTGGTTTGGTTGGTCATTAAATTGTTTCTTTTTTTTTTTTTCCTTTCACTATCATCATTACCAGCCAATCTTCCAATACACTTTTGATGTCTCTCTCCCACATTTTAGTTTCCTCTTCTCCATTTAATTCTAATGAACATTTCTTATTAGTTTTTAAAATTGATTTTAGAGAGAGGACTGGGGAGAGTGAGAGAGAAACATTGATCAGTTGCCTTCCACACATACCCTTGTGATCCAGGCATGTGCTCCGACCAGTGATTTTTTGGTTCATAGGTCAAGGCTCAACTACTGAACCACACTGACCAGGCTGAAGGAACTCTTTTTTTAAAAATATATTTTATTGATTTTTTTACAGAGAGGAAGAGAGAGGGATAGAGAATTAGAAACATCGATGAGAGAGAGACATCAATCAGCTGCCTCTTGCACAACCCCTACTGGGGATGTGCCCGCAACCAAGGTACATGCCCTTGACCGGAATCAAACCCAGGCCCTTTCAGTCTGCAGGCCGATGCTCTGTCTACCGAGCCAAACCGGTTTTGGCTGAAGCAAATCTTTTAACTGTGTCTTTTTTCTTCCTGAAAGCTTATTGAGTAAAGCATTACACAGGTTAGACTGGCCAATAAAATAAGTTCATTTTGTCCTAGACATGAGGCTAAGGTGAGGTCCCTGAAGCCAAGTGCATTGGAACATCCTGCATAAACTCTATGGCATGATAAGACTTCATAGACCAATTCCTGCCCCTAATCCTGCCCTATTAAAAGTTTACCTTTGTATTTTTAAAAAGGAAACATTACCTGGCCACAGCTAAGCAGTAGATGGCGTTTTCCCTTAGAGTTCTCCCACTGTGCTCAGAGAAAGATTTGAAGAAGGATCTGAGTATAAAGTCTGTACTGGATGTTGTATAATGAAAAGACGTGTGTGAATAGCCCACGCTTGAAACGGGAAGGAGGGAAATTGGGGGGAGATATGTATTTTTTGTGAGCTTTTCTTTTTTCCTAACTGTAGCAATCATATTTTTCCGATTTTGTTGTTGATGTCTTTGTAATTCAGGAAATGTATTTGTATCTACCAGCTGAGGACATTTGAGGGTTTGTTCTCTTGTGTTCTGCTGTGAAATTGCCAAAGGATTGATGCGTCTCCTGCTCGTAATTTGTTTCCTGAGAGGTGGTAGCTTGCACATAGTGTTCTGTGAGTCCTTGTTCCCAGATTTATGCCAGCTCTTGGAGGTCATTTTTGGTTTGGTGAAACCATCCACCATCACAGGGTCTCCAATTTTTGCCCCAAAGACCCTTGCTCCACAAAGCTGGTTTTTTTTGTAAAGATTGTGACTCTGAGCTCTGAGGACCCACTGTTTTATTTTAATATAGATCCTCATGGGGACTGAAATCTTCAGAAAAGAAACTGTGGACCACATTTTACTAAGTAAATATAATACGCAGTCTTTATGCTTGTGTTTGGATGCGATGGTCAGGGGAATTTGACCCATTGCATTTTTGCATTCCAGGCACAGCACACTGTAGTTGACAAAGGCCTTCAGAATCAACAGCTGGCCCGCTTCTGCAGCTGCATGAATTGGACATTTAGAGACATCTGCATGCAGAGCTTCATGGCACCATGCTCGGTAGGGGTGGACGCCAACTGCCTCATTGGGCCGCACACCCTGCTTCAGGGCCCATTCAGTGAGCTCAATGTAGCCATAAAAGGCAGCAATGTACAGGGCCACCCTTTTCTGGTACCTGAATGAGTGGAACAAGTAGGAGTGGGGGAGTTTAGTAAGTCAGCAAATAGACAGATGTAATTACACTAAATACCCATGAAACATTCTAGTTAACATTCTAATTGTTCTACGAAAACAATTCTAATTGTTCTACGAAAACAATTCTAATTGTTCTGTGCAAACAATTTTCAAAAAAGGTATACAGTAACATACAAGTTAAACTGTAGAGTTTCTGCTTATACACATCATCCTACTATGCACATGTACATAGTTCAAACCACTTTCCTTGGAGAAGCTTTTTTTTGTGAAAATTAAATGCTCAGGAAGAATACAAAGTTTTATATCAATTGGGAAAGTAGCCAAAGAAATTCAACACATTTTAGAAATTTGAAAGTTGTGTGTGCTTATTCTCTCTTTTCTATCATTCTTTACTTTTTGGCTTCTGAGACACTACTGCTATCTGATCACCACTAGGTGGGCCCTACCAACACCATGCCCAATGCCATCATCTCCTCTCCCACTTCCATTTATCCCTCTCCAGGCATTGCCTCACACTGTACTCAATTAACTTTTTATTCCTTAAATAGAGGCCCAATGCATGAAATTTGTGCAAGATAGGCCTTCCTTCCCCCAGCTGCCAACACCAGCTTCCCTCTGGCACCCAGGACCCAGGCTTCTCTTGTAGCCCTGACTTTGTCTGGAAGGATGTCCTGTCGAATTAGCATATTATGCTTTTATTATTATAGACTAGAGGCCTGGTGCATGAAATTCATTCACAGGGGGTGGGGTGGGTGTCTCTGAGACCAGCCTGCACCCTCTCCAATCTGGGACCCCGTATAAACAGGCAGTTGGACATTCCTCTCACAATCCAGGGCTGTTGGCTCCCAACTGTTCACCTGCTTGCCTTTCTGATTGGCCCTAACCGCTTCTGCCTGCAAGCCTGATCATCCCCTATCCACTCTCCTGCCAACCTGATTGATACCTAACTGCTCCCCTGCCAGCCTATTTGCCCCTAACTGTCCTCCCCTGCAGGCCTGGTCACCCCCAACTTCCCTCCCCTGCCGGCCTGGTCACCCTAACTACCCTCCCCTGCAGGCTTGATCACCCCCAACTGCCCTCCCTTACAGGCCTGCTTCCTCCCAACTGCCTCCTTTGCTGGCCTAATCACCTACAACTGCCCTCCCTTGCAGGCCTGGTCCCTCCCAACTGTCCTCCCCTGCTGGCCATCTTGTGTCCACATGGGGGCAGGATTTTTGACCACATGGGGGCAGCCATCTTGTGTATTGGTGTGATGGTCAATCTGCATATTACTCTTTTATAAGTTAGTATAGAGGCCTGGTGCATGGGTGGGGGTCAGCTGGTTTTTCCTGAAGGGTGTCCCAGATCAGGGTGGGGGTTCCCTTGGGGTGGGGGTGGCCTGGGCAAGGGGTCTGTGGTGGTTCGCAGGCCAGCCATGCCCCCTGGCAGTTACATACCAGCTGAGGCCCTGGTATCTGGGGTTTATTTATCTTCTACTATTGAATCTTTGTAGCCTGGAGTGGAGCCAAGCCTTCTGCTTGCTCTGTGGAGGCAGCCATTTCTGATAGGACTTATGTATCTTCTATAATGAAATTTTGTAGCCTTAAGAGGAGGCCTGGGTGGCCAGGGCAGGTGGAAAGCTTGGCTTCCTCCATTGCCGGGGAAACCCAAGCCTCCCTCCTGCTCTCTGTGGCCATAGCCATCTTGGTTGGGTTTATTTACATATTTGCTTCTGATTGGCTGGTGAGCGTGGTTTGTAGATGTAGCAAAGTGATGGTTATTTGCATTTTATTAGGTAGGATTGGTGGTTGTCCTCTGTTCTAACAATTAAAGTTCTAACTCCTCACCTAAGGCCCTTCATCATGTGGTCCCTGCTCCTTTTTCCTACCCCACTTTGTACCAGTCCCTTCTACTTCACTGAACTGGAGCTACACTGGCCTTTTTACTATCCTTCCAACACTCTATAAGGCATAAGTTAAAAGATGGGGGGAAGCTGTTCAGTGAAAGAAGAATTAGGGAGGACAACCGAGACAGGTTCCCACGAGGTATTGTCCAGAATACATTTGGGCAAGGCTATCTGATCCCATTGTAGAGATGGAGACAAGCTAGCCTGATACAATCCAAAATACATAATGTGTAACTAATTCTGCAATGTCTGATTGCATGCTCCTCTCATCACCTTTGGATGTGGTATGTGACTTCCATATAATTTTCTTGTATGAGGTAAGTGGCTTGCCCAGAACATATGAGTCTCTAGAAGCCTCTGGAAGTTAGATTATAACTAATTAGAGTTATAGGTTAATGTAGGGAGTGGATATAGGATTAAGCCTCAGATTGACCTGTGGCAGAGCCAGCTTAGAGGGCAGAGACATTTTAGCATAATTAAGCTTGACCTTATGATACTCCCTACATCCTATTTGGGTAGCTAATGGGCTGTGGGAGGTGCAGCAAGTGCTGCCAAAACAAGTGAAACTCACAAGAACATTGTAACTATGGTGACCACTACCTTCTTTACCTCTGGCTATCAAATAAAGGCTCAGCTTGCCTTCTGGATCTTTCTCTGTGGCCTTAGTCAATCACAGGAAATCCATCTAGACCCAGCTTATTCTCTTTGTCTTTTCTTCAATCCTTCACTACCACTCTCCTTAGGCTTACCAAACCCTTGTCTGTGCTAGCACAGCACATGTTAATGCACTGGCACTTTGGTTCACACATCAATTTTTTAAAAAAATTCATTAATGCACATCAGCATCTCATTTTTCTTGATTTGGGAGCAAAGCCTCTCCTGGATGGACTAACTGGCCTCTGTTTTTATCTTTATCATCCACATTGTGGGAACTGGAAGCACTCTTATTACCAAGGTTTATTGATCCTGCCTTCTAAATATATATTTTTATAGTCTTTCCTCTTAGTCCTAAACAATAATAATCTCTCTCTTTTTAAAAAATATATTTTATTGATTTTTTTTACAGAGAGGAAAGAAGAGAGATAGAGAGTTAGAAAACATCGATGAGAGAGAAACATCAATCAGCTGACTCTTGCACACCCCCCACTGGGAATGTGCCCACAACCAAGGTACATGCCCTTGACTGGAATCGAACCTGGGACCTTTCAGTCCGCAGGCCGATGCTCTATCCACTGAGCCAGACTGGTTTTGGCAACAATAATAATCTCTTGACTGTCTCCCTGCCTTCCTGCCTTCCTCTATTCCTCACACTGAAGCCATCCATCCTTCTAACGTGCCTTTCTCTACCTTCAGAACACTTCCTTTACATTTTTGTGGGTCCTACGTGAACTGGCCTCTTCATAGCTTTTGAGCCTCTGGCCATTAGCTCCCTCTCACGCTGACCTATCATGTGAAACTTCTTTCAGTACCTTGAACATCTTATTCTCTTGCCCTAATCTTTGTACATGTGGGTCCATCTGCTTTGAACATGGTGTTTTTTTTTTCTTTTCTTTTTTCCCCCCTTCCCTACCACTTAATCTGAGTACCAACTCTTCAGGCCTCAATTTCAATTCTTTTTCTCAAGATGATCCCCTGAGTCTGTTAATTCTACATATTATACATTCCCATATCATCTTGTATGGTCCCCATGCCATAACACTTTTCACATTGACTGATAACAGTATTTAACATTTGTATCCTACTTGCCTCCTTCCAGAGAGCTTTCTAATTCTTTAATCTCTACAACAGTTCTAAAAAATAGATATTATTATCATTCCCATGTTATACAAGAGGACACTGAGGTACAAGATGATGGAATAATTCGCCCAAATTTGTACACCTGAACACTGAGGGAGTGGGGCTTTGAACCTAGCAGATGGGCACTGTAGTTGGTAATCTTAAACATTTTGCAGTTCTGCTTCTTCAGGAATTGGTTCCTGGTATTCTTTCCCTTACTGGACTGTAAGCTTGCTGAGAGCATGGACCATGTCTTGTTAATTGCTAGATTCATAGGATCTTGCATTATACCAATACATAGCAAATGCTGAATAGATATTTGGTAATTGGGTAGAGGAATAAGAGGAGCTTTTCAATGTGATAATTTATAGTCACTAAGCTCTTACATTTTATTTAAATACTAGAGGCCCAGTACACGAAATTTGTGCACGAGGGAGGAGGTGGTGTCCCTCAGCCCAGCTAGCACCTTCTCCAATCTGGGACCCCTTGAGGAATGTCTGACTGCCAGTCAGACATCCCTCTCACAATCCAGGACTGCTGGCTCTCAACCGCTCACCTGCTTCTGCCTGATTTCCTAACCACTTCTGCTTGCTAGCCTGATCACCTCTAACCGCTCCCTGCCAGCCTGATTGATGCCTAACTGCTTCCTGGCCGGCCCGATTGCCCCTAACTGCCCTCCCCTCCCAGTCTGGTCACACCTAACTGCCTCCCCTGCAGGCCTGGTCTCCCCACAACTGCCCTCCCTGCAGACTTGGATCCCCCCAACATTCCTCCCTTGCAGGCTTGCCCCTCCCAACTGCCCTTCCCTGCAGGCCTGGTCCCCCAAAACTGCCCTCCTCTGTTGGCCCAGTCAACTCTAACTGCCCACCCTGCTGGCTGATCACCCACAACTGCCCTCCCCTGCTGTCCTGGTCCCCCCCCCCCAACTACCTTCCTCTGCTATCCTGGTGCCCCCCCCCCAATTGTCCTCTCCTGCAGGCCTGAATCCCCTGTAACTATCCTCCACTACAGGCCTGGTTCCCCCCCAACTGTCCTCCCCTGCTGACCTGGTCTCTCCCAACTGCCCTCCCCTGTAGGTCTTGACTCCTGAACTGCCCTCTCCTGCCAGCCTGGTCTCCCCCAACTGCCCTCCGTTGCCAGCCTGTTCCCTGCCAACTGCCTTCCCCTGCTGGCCATCTTGTGGTGGCCATCTTGTGTCCACATGGGGGCAGCCATCCTTGACCACATGGGGCAGCTATCTTGTGCCTTGGAGTTATGGTCAATTTGCATATTACTCTTTTATTAGATAGGATTAAGTAAAATGGAGATGGTTAAGCACATGAGCATTAGATTTTAATTGTCAGGATCCAACAACCAGTCATGACCTTGCTAATTGTGTGACAATGGGCACATTTTTTTTTATATAGATTTCCTTTGCTATAAAAGAAGATAAAATAGTATCTACCTCATAAAATTGTTAAGTATAAAGTTAGGTAATAAATATAACAGAGTGTCTGCTACACAGTAGCACAATTATGCATTATGTGTAACAATGTAGCACAATTATTTCTTTGGATTTAGAGCATGAAAAAAATTAATGTAAAATAGTTGATATTTTGTAGAATTGCAAATGGTGGCTTTCCAATCTGTCACTTCACAGAGATCTTGGAGCTCCTGGTGGGTATGTAGGCTTCTGTACAGTATAATTAAATCACCCATGAGGGGGCACTATTCTAAAATATTACAACACCACTGAATTGAAAACAAAAGGGTAATGTAGCATTTGGGAAGCTGCAGAGATACATTTACGTTTCTGAGCCTACCCACCTCCACAGCCAGGCCACACAAGCTCCACTTCATGTACTACAAAAGTATGAATGTTGTATTAAATACAGCTTAAAAAATTACATGGGAGGCAGCCAATGTTTCAGCCAATCAATTAGCAAATGTGTTGTATTTTTTAAAGAATAATTGAATGTGAAGGCTTTAAAAAGAGATGTTAAAAGTCTAATACCCAAACCAAACTGGTCATCCATTTAAATAGTATTTCCTGAGGAATGTATACCCAAAGTGCAATCCTTCCCCAAAGGCTGTTAGACCTGGTGGCATCCCTGCTGCCTCATTCTACTAATATCTCCATAATGGGGTCTGGTTGAGACATGCTAAGTAGAACTAGCATGGAGCAGCACACCAGCCAATGAGTGAATTGTAGACTCAGGGTCCTATGGAAATTTAGGGTTACTTAAATTAATTTGCTTTATCTCCATACTTAAGTACTGGTTTTTCATTTGATAAATAGCGTTGGACTTTAAGATTTTGTCCGAGGAGACAACCCATCAGAAATTCCTTCCATCCATCCCAGACGTCCAAGTGAAGCGTTGTGCCTGTGGATCAAGAGAGGCAGTTTACAGTGCAGTCCATCATGTGGCTTGGCAATCTATAAAACTTCTAAAGATAGCTTCCCCCAACAGAGGCATAGGACTAAATGCAAAAGTAACCTTGGAGTAAGTTGACAGAGATGTTATTCTTAGCTTAGGCCTGCACTGTGATTGCATATGATGCTGAAGTATTTTTAACAGTTATCTGAAAACAGTGCTGTGAAAACTGATTCCATGATGATATATATCTCACTACGTAAAACTAAAGCTATTTTGTTGGAAGAGGAAACTAAACAAAATATGGCAGGACAAATGGGCTCCTTCTTGGCTTTCAGCTTGTGAGTGGGCTGTGGATGGAGCTGAATGATCTTTTTGTTCTGTGCTTCAAAAACAGGAGCCATTCTGTGTTATGAAAGTTCATTGCTCCTGGAGAATTTATCACTTGCTCCTAAATAGATGACCCTCTCTTGATGCTGTGACATCACATTCCCTTTGGTCTTTGGGCAGGGAGATAAAGAAACATGGCTTAAATGAAAGAACAGAACAACACTCCAGAAAAGAACTAAACAAAATGAAGATAAGCATTCTACTAGACACAGAGTTCAAAATACTAATTTATCCCAATCAGCATGGCTCAGTGTTTGAGCATTGATCTGTGAACCAGGAGGTCACATTTTTAATACAGATCAGGGCACATCTCCAGGTTGAAGGCTCAATACCCAGCGTGGGCATGCAGAAAGCAGCCAATCAGTGATTCTCTCTTGGCATTGATGTTCCTATCTCTCTCTCCTCTCACTTCCTCTATGAAATCAATTAAAGCATTTTTTAAAAACCCACTGTTTAGAAGGATGCTCAATGAACTTGGGGGAAGAGTAGGCAAACTTCATGAGAATTCAACAAAGACATCAGAAATATAAAAATGGAAATAGAAAACATGCAAAAGAACCAGTCAGAAATTAAGAACACATTAACTGAAATGAAGAATACATTACAGGGAATCAACAATGGAGTAAATGAAGCAGAGGATCAGGTCAGAGATTTGGAAGATGAGAAATAAAACACCCAATCAGAATAACAAAAAGAAAAATGAATTAAAAAAACACTGAGGATAAGAAAAGGAGCCTGTGAGACAGCTTCAAGTGTACCAATATTCGCATTATGAGGGTGTCAGAAGGAGAAGAGAGAAAACAAGGAATTTAAAATCTATGTGAAAAAAATGATGGTGGAAAACTTTCCTCACCTGGTGAAGGATCTAAACAAGTCCAGGAAGTACAGAAAGTCCCAAACAAAGTGAACCTAAAGAGGTCCACACCAAGACACTTCATAATGAAAATGACAAAGATTAAAGTGAGAGAATCTTAAAAGCAGCAAGAGAAAAGCAGTTAGTGATGACAAGGGCTCCCATAAGATTATCAGCTTATTTCTCAACAGATATTTTGCAGGCCAGAAAGTATTGACAATAAATATTTAATGGCTTGGCTGGTGTGGCTCAGTGGATTGAGCATTACCCCATGCACCAAGAGGTTGCTAGTTCAAATTTCCAGTCAGGCACATGCCCAGGTTTTGGGCTCAATCCCCAGTAGATGGTGTGCAGGAAGAAGTTGATTAATGTTTATCTTGATATTTTTATCTCTATCTCCCTCTTCCTTCCATTCTTTCTGAAATCAATAAGAGCATTTAAAAAGAAAGAAATATTCAAAGTGATGAAAAGCAAGGACCTATGACCAAGGTTAGTCTACTCAGAAAAGCTATTCATTAGAATCAAAGAACCTATAAATAGCATCCCAGACAAGAAAAAAACTAGAGTTCATCACCACCAAACCAGTAATACATAAAATGTTTATGAAGAAGAAGGAAAAAGGACTAAAAATATGAATAATAAATATTAATAAATGCATATCTATCAACCATTGAATCTAAAAAACAAATAAGCAGAACAGAAACAGATTCTTAGATACAGATAATATTTTGGTATTTCCATTTGGGAGCGGGGTTTGAGGAAATGGGTGAAAAGGTGAAGGTATTAGGAGGGACAAATTGATAGTAACAGAACAGTCATGAGGATACAAATTATAGCATAGAGAATATAGTCAATAATATTGTAGTAACTATGTATGGTGTCAGATGGATACTAGATTTATTGTGATGATCCCTTACTAAGTTACATAATGTCTAATCACTGGGGTGTACATCTGAAACTAATATAATATTGTATGTCAACTGCAATTGAAAAATAAAAAAAATTATTAAAAAAAATAAAAGAAAGAAATTGTTGATATGAAAAAGCATGCTCTGACCCAAGAGTGAATTTTGTTAGAAATGTAAAAAGTCAACTTGGAAAAAACAGGTTTCCATTTTGGATAATAATGGACTTCAGCAAGCAAATTTTATTTACTGATATTCAGAGTAAATTGAATTGTAAATTTTGAAAAAGTCAAATAAACACTATACTAAATTAAAGCAATAATAAATAAGAAAAAATCAGGAATGATCATTGATGTTAAACTTTTGAGAGCTTCAATAAAAAATAACATAAAAGAATAAGTAAATATGATAGAAGTTACAATGAATGCAAATTTATAAAGAGCAAACTGCTTAACTCAAAAATGTCTACAAAGAGCTATTATAAGTTGGAAGAACTCAAATTCCATTGCAACAAATGTTACAGTATGGCACCCCTTAAAAATGTGCTAATTGTCAGCAAAGATCCATTTGTTTCAAGTAAGAATCTATAAAAGATTTGAACCATTTTCCAATGTGGTTAAACAAACCTGGAAGTTTTACTGGTGTATGACTAGCAGTACAGGATTAAAAGGGAGTTTGTTTCTGCTGTGAAGAATAAATGCCAGCTCATTGAGGCAATTCAGCCTGCATAGTAGTCGCTTCACCCTGTTTAAAATTTAATATAACCAACATTTTAAAATGAGATTGCATAAAGCAAGGCTCAGAATAGTGTGTATCATATGCTACCACTGTGTTAAAAAGAGGAAAAAGAATATTTATTTGAACTTGCTTTTATATATGCTGCAAACATATTTAAAAGAGAACAAGACAAGACTGTGAGATTTTTTTTATGTCTTAGTCTATAGAACCTGATACCAGAGAGGAGTTTTGATAGATTATAACCACACAGTGCTTACAGAAGTTTTAGTTTAGAAAAAACTCCTCCATTTGTTAAGAATCTGATATCAAAGAACCATAGTGCTGAATAGTAGCTGGTATCAAGTGTAGAGGGCAGTACCGATGTCAGTATGATAGTCCCTGAGGGTGTTGCAGTCGAACATCTCCAGTCCCCTTGGGGTCCGGAGGCAGAAGACACTCACAGGGAAGCCACATCTCAAAGATAACAGCGTTCTCAGCTCAGATACTTTTTTATTAAGAAGAGAAATGCTATCCATTATCAACATTTTCTCTTGGGTAACAGCATTGAACACATAGAGAGTGGGCTTATCTTCTTCCTATGGGGAGAGAAAAGAGAGAACTTAGGAAGAAACACCATCTGGAGGTTGGGACAGACAAATATTTTGAAGGGTGGATTTAAGTGCCTCCAGCTAAGGATAAAAGCAAAGGTCAGTTACATCCCCTGACATCTGGTCTGAATCTTGCTCTTTGCTCCTGCTTTGAGTAAAGTAAAGGAGACTATGCAGGGCTTTAAAATCCTTTTACTTCTTAGTCTACAGGCCCAGCTGCAGTGTTGATCATTTATATCCACACTGAACTTAAAGAGGTTAGTTTCAAAACAACTCCTCCATCGTGCTGCACTTTAATTTGGAGATGCTATGGATTCTATGGATTCTATCCTTCACTTAAAAAGTGCTTTCTTTGATGTTATCTCTGGAAGTGGAATTGAGTTCAGGTTGCAATGGGAGTTTTCTTTATCATTTTATGCTCTTCATTGTCTGAATCACTTGACCTTAAAAAAATAACCCTGTGCATTTATGTTTGTTATTTAAAAAAGGAAATAATAAATATGAATGAAAAAAGTTTTCTTTGTCCCTTTTACTTTGTAATCTTAATAGGAAAGCAAGTGGAATGGAAATATCAGAAATAGTTAGGAATGAAAATTGGGGGAAAGTATTAATTCTTCTGTTAGCAACAGTTAAGTCAAGCGGAACCAAAACTAAAATCACAGGAAATGAGAAAAATGGAAAAGTAGTAGGGAGGGAAAATTTATTGACATTTCCACTTTTCTAACAAAAAAATAAATGAAACTGGCTTTACTTCCTCTTTAGAGGATTTAGGTCAATCACAGGTTTTCTTCAGTGCCCTGTTGCTGGCCTGGCAGATGGGAGTGCACAGAGTTGACATGTAGTGTGCCCTGGTAACCCACCTCCTCTCCAAGCGAGTCCTTGGGCAAAACCTAGAAGCAGAAAATAGCCTCCAGTTTCCTCAAGATGGCCCCAGCGAGTTACTGGCCTCCTGGACCCCTTCCTGTTTCCCTCCCCCTTTCTCCCATCAAAATTCATCTCTAGTTTCTCCACAGGCTCTCCTTGCTTCAGGCTTATAATGCATTAAATGTATTCTCCACTTCCCAGATAACACATTGCCATAACATAATCAATATGAAAATCTCTTTGAAAGAGCCTTTGATGAGTAATATTGATGAAAGTTTAGGCTGCAATGTTTTAATCTAGGGTCCATTTTCGTAACTCAAATCACTGAGGCTTAGTTATCCAGCAAGCTGAGCTTCTTGAGTCTAAAGTGCTTGGAACAGGATTAAAAGTAATGTCAGTGTAAGTGGATGCCACACAAAACACTCCCAGAACAAAACTGGAACTACAACTAAAATATGAAAGAAAAAAAAAGTATGAATAATTCAACTGAAGACTAGCTGGAGAAAACCCTTATATCTAAGGATGGAAAGTGGAGACCACATAGAGACTGGTAAGAGAGATGGAGGTTCAAAGGGCTTGCTGGACTCCCACAGACAGCAGCTGAAGTACTAGAGAAATATCTCTGCTGTGTGTGGGCAGGGGTGAGGGGGGGCCTTGAAACTGACAACTTCGGGGTCTAGTCCCCAAGCTGAGTCCCAAAGTCCACAGCAGCAGAACTGAGAAAGGTGCCCACATAAATCTGGCTGTGAAAAGCAGCAGGGTTGCTGTCTGCCAGGGAGAGATGGCTGGAAATGCAGGTACCCTCTTCAAGGGCAAAAATTTAAGGTGCAGCCACTCATTTTGTGGTCCAGCAGAGGTAGGGCAGAGTGGACTCTGTGAGCAGAAGCCAGGTTTGGGTGCTCTAGGGTTAGAGCTCAGAAGGCAGACATCCCGGTCTCCTGTGTTGAGTCATTCCTTTGCATTGTAGAAGACACTTTGTTCAGCAGAACTTTACTATTCAGGCAGATTTACTCAGGGGGAAAAAAAGCTGACACAACCTATTGGAAAACACATTGCCCCATGTTGTGGAGTTTCTGCGGTCCATTAAGAGACAAAGAATAGTATAGGACAACAGATCTGAGTAAAGAAATATATCCAGTTTGTTAACATAAAGTGTAAGTTAATGACCTAGATCAATTATTTGATATCTCCCTTTGTTCTCTCTCAACTCCCTGACGTATTTATTTATTTTTTATTTTTTAAATACATTTTATTGATTTTTTTGCATGAGTAAGAGAGAGGGATAGAGAGTTGGAAGCATTGATGAGAGAGAGTCATTCATTGACCAGCTGCCTTTTGCACACCCCCTACCGGGGACATGCCCACAACCAAGGTACATGCCTTTGACCGGAATCAAACCTGGGGCCCTTCAGTCCACAGGCCAACGCTCCATCCACTGAGCCAAACCAGTTTATGCTCCTTGACATATAGAAAGAAAGAAAGAAAGAAAGAAAGAAAGAAAGAAAGAAAGAAAGAAAGAAAGAAAGAAAGAAAGAAAGAAAGCTTTATGCTCCTTGACATATAGAAAGAAAGTTTATGCTCCTTGACATATAGAAAGAAAGAAAGAAAGAAAGAAAGAAAGAAAGAAAGAAAGAAAGAAAGAAAGAAAGAAAGAAAGAAAGAAACAGAGAGAGAGAGAGAGAGAGAGAGAAAGAAAGAAAGAAAGAAAGAAAGAAAGAAAGAAAGAAAGAAAGAAAGAAAGAAAGAAAGAAAGTGGAATAGGAGGGGAGAGGTCTAAATTAAGAAAACTAAGGCTAAAATTTGGTACAAAGCAAATGTTTGGAACAATAGAGTCACACTGCTATCTACCTATTAAATAGTGAATCTCTCTTTTAAGAGCAGAGAATAAGTCTTATTCACTTCTGTATCTTCAGACCAAGCACAGTGCCAGGTATATATGACCCTATCAAATATCTTTAAAAAAATAACACATGAACAACCAAAAGCAGACTTCCACATCCCCCACCAAAGCTAGCAACTTTCTAGTAGAGGTATAGATATTTCTTACACAGACACTTGATAAAAGCTCATGGTTTTATGAAGATGAGCTACATACCCTGTTTCCCCAAAAATAAGATAGTGTCTTATATTAATTTTTGTTCCCAAAGATGCACTAGGTCTTATTTTCAGGGGATGTCTTATTTTTCCATGAAGAAGAATACAGTACACATTTATTATTAAATGAAAATAAAGGAAATTTATTACCTGTATACAGTATGATAGTATGATAGTTGTCAACACAAATCAGACAAACTGTGCATCCTATAGTATCAATAATTTACTCATTTATTCAATGACAATCATGTCATCATATTCTGGAACATCATCATAACAATCCAATTCCTGAATTTCCTGGTGAATTTCTTGTGACCCCATTTCTTTCAGAATCAGTGGACCAAATCTCTCATGTTTAGCCTAGGAGGGGCCTTATTTTCGGGAGGGATGCATTATATTTCACTCAGAAAGAAACCTGTAAGTAGGTCTTATTTTCGGAGGATGTCTTATTTTTGGGAAAACACAGTAAGTGATCTATGAAGAAAACTTGAGAATGACTGGTTAACAATCTTTCAACCAGCAATCATCTCAGGCTTGCAACAGATACTTGGCCAAAAATTATAATCTGAACTTTGTAGCTAATATCTATGCAGCAAAACTAATCTGCTCCAAAATCAGATGTTTAAATTAAAAAATATTTTGTTGTAAAAATAAAAACCTTACTGGTATTCTTCTTTTTAAAAAAAATATATTTTATTTATTTTGTACAGAGAGGAAGGGAGAGAGATAGAGAGTTAGAAACATAGATGAGAGAGAGTCATCGATCAGCTGCCTCTTGCACACCCGCTACTGGGGATATGCCCGCAACCAAGGTACACGCTCTTGACCAGAATCAAACCCTGGACCTTTCAGTCCCCAAGCCGACGCTCTATCCCTTGAGCCAAACCGGTTTCAGCCCTTACTGGTATTCTTGCCAAAAGAGAAAGAGAGAGAGAGAGAGAGAGAGAGAGAGAGAGAGAGAGAGAATAACAATTAGTCTCCACAAATAAGCAATTGCCCCACCATGCTGGAAAAACTCTCATCACATGTGTAGATGAATTGCCTCAGGGCTACTCAAGACTGAATCCATTCTGAAACCAGTTTGGCTCAGTGGATGGAACGTCTGTCTGTGAACTGAAAGGTCCCAGGTTCGATTCCGGTCAAGGGCATGTACATTAATTGAGGGCACATCCCCGATGGGGGTTGTGCAGGAGGCAGTTGATCAATGTATCTCTCTGATTGATGTTTTTAGTTCTATATCCTTTCCTTTCCTCTCTGTGAAAAATCAATAAAATGTATTTTTATAAAAAGACTGAATCCAATCACTCTGCAGGCAGAGGTGGGTCTCTGAAGACTTTGAGTCTTTGCCTGATATAATTAGTCAGAAACAGCATTTGACACTATCCATAACTAGAGACTGAGAGATATAGCAGATCTACCTAATATATAATCACAAACCCAAACTGGCAGCCAAAATGTGGAGACAAAATAATAATAATAATAATAATAATAATAATAATAATAATAACAACCCCTGAAATGAAAGAGCAAGAGAATTTTCCAGAAGAAGAGATAAATGAAATGGAGATAAGAAATGTATCTGAGACTAGAGAGATGGTGACAGGCAAGATGCAGTGAGAGAGAGAGTGTGAGAGAGTGAGGGAGCAAAAAAGGAGTGTGTGGACATGGTGTATGTGTATAAGCTAGGGACAGTTAGATCCTGCAGGACATTGAGGGGCTGGTGGACCAGACAATATTAGGCTGTGAGACCATGCAGCCCCTGCAAACACTTCCAGCCAGCTGGAGCTGGCAGTGAAACCATGCTATCTTGAAGAACAGAACTGCTTGAGACTAGGGTCCTAGTCTCACTACCACCCAATCTGGTCATAGGCTCAAACTGGGACCCTACATCCACTCTGGACAAAGACCTGGTACCACAGCTGCAGACTGTGGACACTGAGACTCCAGACATCTTGGCCGCAGATTTCTGTGAGTCACAGAATGCATGCTTCTCCCTGATGGCCTACTGCAGTAGTTTAGGTCCTACCCAA